TGTGTCTGTCTGTCTGTGTCTGTCTGTCTGTGTGTCTAATCTGCAGAAAGAAAGAAAGTAAAAGGACTCTGTGACATATTATTGATTATTGATGCTAAAGTAAATGTGTAATCAATATTTGCTGTGTTGGGACTGTTTGTACTTTATGTGTCAGATAAACAAACAGTAATAAAAGTAAATGAACTGAATGTTATTGAGCTTCGTTCTGTATTCGGAGTGTGAGTGACGTGGAAACAAGTTGTAGTTTATCCTGTTTCCCAGAATGCCTTTCAGCAGGACTGCACAGCTTGTAGCCTAAAGGTTAAAGACAAGTTTGTCCTGTTGAGTCACTGAGAACACGGCATGCTTTAATGAGCTTCATTTAAAGTGGAATTACCTGTTTTTGTTGTGGTCTTTAGTCTCTGAGATAAAGTCAAGATGTTTTCTGGGGAATAAACACATCTGTAACAAAAGTATTAAACATTAAACTCTGGAAACCAACAATATCTACAGGCTGTGGACTGAAACCGTCTGGAGAGCATCTGTCAGACGTTAACGCTCTGTGTCTCTGTTCCAGCAGCTGGTAAACATGAAAAGCGACCGGCCTCAGAGTGCTCCGCTGATGACACTCGGTACGGGAAGTGCATCCCGAACGACGGAGACTGCGGCGAGGGCGAGAGGGAGTCCACCTGCAAGGATCGCACCGAGCAGATTCCCTGCAAGATCCCCTGCAACTGGAAGAAAGCCATCAGTGAGTTCACAAACACAGACACAGTGAATGCTTCTGGTAAATGAACCTACGGAGGCCCAGAGGATCTGGGCTGCTGATTTAAGATCCTTTATTCTGCCTCCTGTAGAGGGCAGTGTGTCATGTTTCAGGAGCTCAAAGATAAAACAACCCTAACCTGAAGTAGTTGTGATTAATCCACAATCTGCATTTTCAACCTGCCGCTGTAGGAATCTCTGACCCAGTACACACTGTAAAACATGTCTGTAGATTTTATGGTGTTAAACTCTCAAATCTTGTTTCTGTAACAGTAAAACATGAGAAAACCTTTATTCATCCGACATTTTAAAGGAAATGGTTTGTGCTGAAGGAATCAAATCATCGCCCAGGCTGTTATTAGAAGTTTTACAGTAACCACCAATACAAATATTTCAAGTGAACTTATGTTTTGAGTGAAAAGAGACACGTCACATTCACCATGGTGTGCTTTGTTGGCAGCCTCTAGTGGCCACTACTGGAACTGCATGTTATGACACTTCGTCTCAGGACATTTCCTGATGTTTTGAACTGAGGACAAACTGAACGTGGTCAGTTACAGCGGTCGTACATTAGAATGAACTTTGTGTTCATGGTGTTAACCATGTAAACGCTGGAACTCTTCTTTTTCTTCTTTAAATGTTCTGCGTATTTCCTGCAGGCGACTGCAAGTACAAGTTCGGGCCGTGGGGATCCTGCGACGCCGTCTCTAACACTAAGAGCCGATCAGGAACGCTGAAGAGAGCGCTGTTCAATGCCAACTGCGACAACACCGTCAAGGTGTCCAAACCCTGTTCCCCAAAAGTCAAGAAGACCAGAGGTGAGACCCAAAGACGCTTTCAGATCTACTTCAGTAAAAGTACCAAAAGTAAAAGTACTCATAATGCAGAATAATCATATTCATCATACTAGTGAAAATAAATGTAGTGGAACATTAATATTAATAATATTATAGTATAATGTAAGTAAAGTACAACTATCTCCAATTTGTACTTCAGTGAAAGTTCTTACAAAGTTAATGTCATAAAATACTGATAATATATATTATATATCAAAGTATTTTAAACAGCTGCTATTTTTTACAGCTTTGTTGTAAAATAATAAAACTGACTTTGAGCTTCAGTTTGAGACTCAATGAGACGACCACGGTCAGCGAGCTCCTGCAGGAACTGATCAGCACTAAGGAACATTAATGAACTCGTTTCTTTTCCTTCCAGGGGACAAGAAGTCAAACTAAAGGATGAAATGAGAAGCAGAAGACGGCAGGATTCATTTCTCTTCCTCCAGCTGAACAATCGTCTTCCCTCCTTCGTCCAACACAAACCAACCGAGAGACTCCTCCAAAACACAACTACCACCTTCCATTGTTCCTTTGACTTTTATTACTCTTATTGATGTTCTTGTGTTTATTTGGATTATTTTCCAGAATCTTCCCTTTAGATAATAACCAATAATTCTGTCCTGATAGCTGATAGTTGGTTTTAACAGATAGTCCTAAAAGCTTTTACAGTAGCTGAAGTTACATTAACATCCAACAGACATTCAGGAAACCGTCCTCGATGCTCCGCTGGATTATAAAGACTTCTGTTCTGATCCTCTATAAAATCTATTTTTTGAACTATAGATTATTGACGTTGCAAGATGAGACTTGTATAAATGAACAAATAAATACTGTACATTGTTTTGGTGAAGAGTTTGGTCTGTTCATTAATGTTAACACAATCACGTGATAATAACGCACAAAACCATATTTATATGTACGCTATCCACCAGATTAGTTAGCATGGTTCTAGCATGTTAGCTTTTAGCATGACAGCATTTGTTGACATGTGGCTCCAGAACTGTGTCCATAATATTTTCTATATCTTTATTGTCTGCCATTTTATTTAAGAGTGCACATAGAGTTCTAAAACCCTGAAATCAGTTAGCATTTAGCTAACAGCCAATTGTTTTTTTAATGAGGTTTTTAGAAAACACATCGCTGCATTGTCATGACGGCTTTATAGACATTTTCAGTATTCAGAAATGAAACTAGCTGGAAACCAGTAAAATGACAGTTTAGAGGTTGCAGCACTCAACCTTTGACAGACACCTGTCCGAAACAGCAGCTAGCAGTAGTGACAGCGCTAACAGGTGGACAGTGTCCCAAAACATGGACGACAGCCCGAGTTAAAAGCACGTTTACAGTAATGTTAGCATAGAAATACAAACAGTAACATTATTATAACATCGTCTGAAGTTAAGGGAATGAAAATAAACCTGCAGCTGTTTCCTCTGAAAGTACAAACTCTGCCAGATGTTTAATGTTGATGTAAAAAAGGACGTCGGTGGTTTTTATTGGTAATTTTAAGCGTAACAACGTGATGGAAGTTCTGCCTCTGCTTCCTGTTTCATGTGGACTTTAAACTGAATCTGAACTTTAGTATCGCTGAGTGATCTCAGAGTCTTTTGTCTGTTGGGGAACACTGAGACCTCCTCCACCTGCTGGACACCAGGACAGTCTCAGTGCAGCTTCCTGCCGCGGCAGCACAGGAGGCTGCAGAAGGTCTTCCTGAAGGTGACGTTACACAGAGCGTAGCAGCCGGGGTTGATGGCGCTGTTGATGTAGCAGAGCCAGTATCCGGTGATCCACAGCTCGATGGGGATGCAGTCGTGACAGAAGGTGGCGATGACAGCCATGATGTTGTACGGCATCCAGGTGAGGATGAAGGCCAGGAGGATGGCCAGGATGGTCTTGGTGACCCTCCACTCCCTCGCCATCACTCGACGCCGCCGTCTCTCCTGAGATCTGAAGCTTGGACCGGAGAAAGCTGCAGAGGCCATCCTGTGGAGGTCGGTGTTGGACGAGGAGTCCGTTTCGATCTTGTTGTAGTCTTCGTCTCTGGGGTGGTTGGCGGCGGTCCGAGGGTGACACTGCGGGGCAGGCGTACTGAAGTCTGACTGACTGAGTGCGCTCCG